TCAATAAATCAGTGTAGATTCAAGTTTATCCCTGTAACAACGTCATTCTCAATCACTTACATTCTGACAAACTTTCCTGAGTGGGACAGGACAAGATGGAACTACAGAGAGCATGCTAGGAAACAGCACATTAGAATATGTCACACATGTAAATATCTTGTACTTGGATGGGAAAAAATACTGAGAATCACTGACTTGGATTACAAAATGTTTGCTTTACTGTTGGATGAGACAATAAGGACTATCTGGTTCAACTTCTAACTCTTTACTCAGTTCAGTGCTTGCTTCACGACACCCAATAACTATAGGCTGATCTGTGCATTAAACTATAAGTGAATGTTCTTTAAGAATTAGAACACTATGGGGGCCGGCCCTGTGGCCAAAGTTCCGTGCACTCCACTTCGGTGGCCTGGGTTTGCAGGTTCAGATCCCAGGTGCAGACCTACTTCACTCATCAGCCATGCTGTAGCGGCATCCCACATACAAAACAGAGGAAGACTGGCACAGATGTTAGCTCAGGGCAAGTCCTCCTCAGCAAAAAAAAAAAAAAAAAGAATTAGAACGCTATGCTTATAGAACACGCATTTTAAAATAGGGATATTTATAAAATATCGCTCCCTAAAAAACAATCATACACATCAGCAGAAAGCAGAAAACATTCAACTAAGAGTTTTATGTGTTATTACATTTGAAAACAATGTTTAAACAGATTAAATAAATGTGATTTAAGGTCAGGAGGAACACTAGTTAGAAATTTAAGAAAATAACATTTAGCTTTTCTGTACCACTTTTAAGCAAATATTTGTGGTTTAAAAAGAAAAGAATTTTGGAAAACCATCCAACAACAGATGATAATCTAAGGTGAAAGAAAAATAACTCAGGAATTCAGATAAACTAGACATATTTTGAGGTAAAAGTATTTAAAGGAAATTTCTGATTATCCCTACCTGAGATACAGTAATTAAAGAACTATACAAGAACAGCTAATTTGAGATATTGCTAATTATTTCTTTTGTTTATACAAATGCAAATGTCATTCAATTTCAGTAAACCTAATGTACATTATTTTAATTTCCTAAATCTAAAATTTAGGGACTTTTAGGATGGTAAAATAAACCCAATAATATTAGTAGAGATAAAATTAAAGCTACCATGTAAGGAACTGAATATGGAAATTGAGGACTTCCTAAATTCAGGCAGAACTAGATTGTCTCATTTCTTCTTCCTAATAACCTTGTGCAGCAATTTTATCATCCTCATTTTACAGATGAGGAAACTATGGTTTAAAGAGATTAAGTAACTTGCCCATGTTCCCACAGAAGAAAATCCTGATTTCTGACTGAAACTCAGATTATTTGGCTTCAAAATAAATAAATCTTCTTTCACTACACTCTTCAACCTGGCAAGAAACACACTAAAATTTTCAATCTTTTAATTAAAACATTCTAAAGGAGGAGAGAATATCAAACTTAGAGTAGTGATGATGTATAGATTAAAAATTATCATAGTTTGATAAGTATATATGAATATTTAAGAAATAATTCCAAATCATGCACGACATTAAATTTTTAAAAGCTGCATATGTGATATCCCAAAAATAGAGAAATCTAAAAATTTTTGTAGAAAGGCACTAAGCAAACTTTATCTTACCTAGACATTTTGAATTCCAAAGAAAAAACTTGAGAGGCCCCATATTTTGTCAGCCATACAGCAATTTCATATAGGTAACTAGGATTATATTTATTCTTACAAAATGAGAAAAAGTAGATAATTGCTTGGGTCTGATTCTTTTGTTCTGACTCTAATTTGTCCTCTATTTATTCTTTTCCATTTTCCTCCAAATCTTGGAGCCCTCTTCTAATTTAGGGTAACTGAGTCTCAAGTTCAGGAACTCCTGCAAGTTTAGCAAGGGCAGATATATGGCAATGAAGACCATAAAACTGCAATGATTGGTAGAGTGTTACAGAAGAAATAAAAGTTTCAGTCATTTTCCAAAGCATCAACTACTGTGGAATTATTGGTGACTTTTCTTCTCTACAGCTTTCTGAACTGATTTTAAAGCATTTAACTTTTATAATAAAAATAAAAGTAGGAAAGGAAGAAGAAAAGGAAAGGCAGGCAGGCAGCAGGGGGTAAAATAAAACCTGGAACTTTGATTAAATAATATCTAAACATCTTATTCTTTCCAAATTTCCAAAACTATGACCTGCTTGTTCCCTTTAATCTCTCAATGATGTAGCAAACTAACCATACATAAGCATGCCAAAGTCAAATGAGATATGGAAAAATAATAATGAGGCAATCCAAAGATCTATAAATTCTGAGACATAGCTCAATGTCAATATTTAACAAATTAGCTATATAAATGAGCTAACTATGAAAAACAGATTTAGGGTATACTAAAACTGAAAGGCAGGATTCAAATAAAGAAGAGCACAGGAATTTCCTAGGTATGGAAAAATTACAAATATAATATATATATATGGGAACTTATATCCATTTCTTATTCTTTTATTATAAAATGAAGTTCTATATTAAAATATTCCTTTAGAACACCATGAAACAACACACAGGAAAGTTTTGAGTCCTATCAAAATACTGACTTAAATCTCTCTAGATAATTACTTCATTTCCCATGACATAGTTTTACTAAAAAGTGTTCAGATTTGTAAGCTTTCTTTTTCCATTACAAAAATACATTCTTATTCCAAAACAACGTACATAAGATTGATCCAAGTTATTATGTTACCAAAACATTGCATAATTGATAGTTCCTTGGACCTGTCTTCCAAAGAAGAGGATCATTTAAAAATCAAGTACAAACCTTTAATTTATTAACACAGGAGTCCAACTTTAAAACAAAACTTTTATTTGTATAACAAGTTCATTAAATTTCCTTTTTTTCTGATTACCGAAATCCAATTTACTTATCTGGGCCTTGATTTATAAAGATGATGACTTCCTACTCATTCACAAGACTGCTTTACAATAGTCTTATGAAGTTATATTACTACAGTTTTTATAAATACTATTTCCATCTACAAACGGAAATAAGCACCTCACAATATCTTGGTCTGATATATATTTACGCTGGTTTTCAAACTTGATCATTTCAGTTCCTTAATATTTACTATGTAATAGCTGTCTTGAAAATGTTAGTGCTGTGTAGGTGGTTCGGTAGTTACTGTACAATTCAACTTTTCTGCATTGTTTGAAATTTTTCATAGTGAAATACTGGAAGAAAGAAAATAGCAAATTTGAGAAGTTCACAGACCAGAATTCTAGCTACATAACAGTTGAAGATAAAATGAAAGTGATTTGTCTGCTAACAAGTCTGAATTATTTCTTCCAAACTACTGACATCAACCTTCGAAGTAGTACAGAAGTGGCATTAACAGGACCCTAAATAATTTTACATAATTTATATATATTTAACGCTGCCCACCATCAGCACAAAAGAGAAGCAGATCTTAACCAGAGGTCTTTCTTGGAAGTAAACAGAGAAAAAGTATCCAAGTATGCCTACGTACTTTCAATATATCCCCAATACCTTTGGACCCAGAGTTCCCCTGGCTCAAGAGTACTAACTAGCAGAAAAGATTTCCTGGATTAGAAAAGATACACTCAGCCTTCCTTTGCATTGACTGACAAACGTACGGCTCTTCACCAATATATCTTCCTAAAGACCATACAGGTATACCAGGACTACAACACTGCACTAATCAAATAACTATATTTTGCAATAGTTTTTTTTAATCCTGTTCCCATTCCATAGGTTGAAAAATATTTTCTAGGCTTTAATCACTGAAATAGTTTTGGTCTATTCTTACTGACTTTTCCATTACACTTTTACATACGGTGCCTCCACTTGAGAAATTTTTTTATTTTCTTAAACTATCTGGAGAAAGAGGAAAATGGTACTATACTTTTAGAGCAGTTTACGTCAAAGTAACAACGAGACTACTATGGATATACGCAGTTTGTTATGAATTAAAAACATTAAAGCTTTTTTTTTTAACCATAAGGCGAACAAAAATGAAAGACTATCAGCTTAAATAAATTATTATATTCGGGATTGCACAGCACTAGATATCAAAATCACAAATGTACAAAGAAAAAAGCGACAACTTCACAGTTAACTCCTTAATTCGTGCCCTACCAACACCAACCCACTTAGCGGGTTTCAGAAAGTTGATACTGAGACTCCAAGGCAGAAAGCGGCCCCGAAGGTGCCTACAAACACCTCCTCCTCAACCCTAAATGGCAAAGAGAGAGCAGAAATTGCCCGGCTGCACCAGCCTCACAACAGTTTCTCTCCCGCCTATCTCTTCAGGAGTCACCTCGGGTCAAGACAGGAGCAGGGATGGGAGGTGAGGGATAAAGGCAGGAGGTGCGGAAGCAGACGTGCGGGAGACGAGCTGGGGGCGGACTGCACGGGTCCAGGGCGACTGCAGGGCCCCAGAGCTGGGAAGGGACTGGGGGAACAACTAGGGGTTCGGGTGGCCGCACCCGCCCAAGGGCAGCGTCAGGAGAAGAGCGCGCCGTGAGACGGGGGTGCGGGCGTGACGGGCGGCGCCCACAATTCCCCGTACACCGCCCCACACCCCGCAGCCCCCCAACCCGGCGACGGGGCTGGGCCGCTGCGCCCGCCTCAGCCCTTTCGCGCCGGCACCCGCCCCCTCAGCCTCCAGTCCCGGGTTGGTGGGAGGAGCGGGCCTCGCCACGCCGGGTGGGCAGCCCGGCCCAAGCCCCAACCAGGAATGCTCCGCCGCGGGCGGAGGACGGGCGGGAGACCCCGCAGCCTGGGGCGGGAGGGGGTTGGCTGAGGGCGGAGGAAGAGCCTTCGGCGCAGCCGCCGCAGCCAGGGCTGAGTCCCAGGCGCCCCCCTGAGGGCAGGGAATGTTGCCCCCGTTCTCAGCTTGCCTTCCCTCCTCTTCCCCCCTCCCCCGGCGTTACCCCGAGCAACAGCGACTGCCGCCGGCGGCGCAAAACTCACCTACCTAGAACCTGACAAGCAGGAGCCCCTCAGACACGGGAGCCAGTCGCCACCCCACGTCACGGGGGCCGCCACAGCCAATGGGCGCCGCTGTCACAAGCCTCTGCGGCCAATCCAGCTGCTCTCCGGTCTCCGGGCACCCTCGAGGCCTCAGCCAATGGGCACGGGCGGAAGGCGGGCGCTGCCGCCCGGCCCCCAACCCCCTCCTTTACCACCTCCCAGGAGGCGGGGCGCGGCTGATTGGCCCGAGCCCCCGAGAGGTGGGACTCGGGCTCCGGGCCGGGTGGGCGCGCGCGCACCGGGGGCTGCGGGCGTTTCGGAGGCAGGCGTGGAGCTGTGGCCGCCGCCCTCTGGCCGTGCTCCTCGGCTCGGGTGGGGTTCCGAGGTCCTCCTTGCTCGTGCTGCTCTCCTCGTCACTCTAACCCGCTCTTCTCCAGCCGGTGTCCAGGGCTGCCGGGGTGGGAGTGGGGGCGAGATGGGGCCGGAGGAAGACGGCAGCGTCACAGGAAACTTGGGGAGGCTCGCCTGGCCGTGGCCGGGAAGTGGCCGGGCCGGGGGTGATAAGCTTGGGCCTCCTGGAAAGGACTACCCAGCGGGTCGACAGCCGGAAAGGAATTCGGAGGGTGGGGGCGGAGGCGTGATTAAAATGTTAAGTGTGCCCGCGGGGTGCTGGGCGATCCCGGGAGCTGAAATCTTTGGGAACGGAAGCAGCTTTGGGGCTGCGGACCACCACCCCCCCAATACGCACTTTTCACCCTCAGAATCAGTCCCTTTTTCCTGTACGTTTTACTTGCCTCTATTTTAACATTGATTCCTTTAGAATGGTTTTCAGCTTTTCCAATGGACTCAGTGCCTTAAAGGCAGGAACTGTGTCCTCCTCATTCCTGTAATTCCCGGTGCCTGAGACTGTCTTTAAAAAATGTTTAGACACTCAATGCTGGAATTGTGATGGATGCTGAGCATCCAGCAGGTCCTGTGATGGTCCTCTATAATAAGTCCTTACCTCTTCGGAAGTCTAGAATGCGTGAAGAACCGAAATTGGTTTGCTCTTCCAGCGAGGGCTGCTTCTGAAGCGTCCTTCACCAAAAGAATTTAGTGGAAGATGAGTAATGTGAGCTAAACAAAGATAACTAGGTGATCTGTAACAGTATGATAGGTGTTATTAGTCACTATTCGAGGGTGTGTTCCCGTAGCCAACTTTTTAAGGCATTGTATTCTTTCTGTTGGTTGAACCACATTCTTTGCCTGGAGCAAATCTAAAGTCAACCGCATTTCCACCTTCCCCCCCTGAAACTTTTGAGTTAGCTGAAGAGTGGTGAATTTTTTTTTCTAAACAGGGTTATTTCTTTGAGGATGGTGAACAGCCCTACATATAGAAAAACATGAATTCTAGTTACAAAATAAATGTCATGGTGATGTAATGTACAGCATGGTGACTATTGTTAATACTGTATTGCATATTTGAAAATTGCTAAGAGTAGATCTTGAGTCCTCCAAACAAGTAAAAAAAAAAAATTGTAACTATGTATTGTGACCGATGTTAACTAGACTTATTGTGGTGATCATTTCGCAGTATATACAAATACTGAATCATGTTGTACACCTGAAACTAATATATGTTTAAGTTATACCACAATAAAAAAAAAGGAGAAAGAGCACCACTATCTCCCAGTTTCTATGGGAGAGTAGGAGCGTAACTTTGGGTGGGCAAACTGCTCCAAGTTGCAAAACTGCTTTCTGTCATTAAGATATGAGAAGTTGGTTTTTCCTCTGGATAAAGCTAAGCAGCTAACACAGATGGTCACCCCAATGACCAAATAAAGTGAAGAGGACTTATGTGTGCAAATGATGTTGTAAGGGCTCTTACTTGAGGACTACATAGTTATTGTTTATCTTGAAAACATATGTAATGAGTTGTATCTGCTTGGCTGTATAAAAGGGTGAGATTTCTTTCTATCTTTGCAATCTCTTTGCTGATTGCCTGTAATGTTTAATGTTTATTCAATAATAAAAGTATTTTATTTCTCCACTACCTTTGTTGAGAGGATTTATGGGTTGGGAGAAGATTTTAATTCTATTTCCCCAACAACACCCATGTCCAAAATATTGAGACTATGAAATTAAGGAAAGTAATTACTTCTTAGTTTTTAATTTGATCTCGAACATGATCTCACATTAGGTGACACCTTATTGCTGAACTACAAATACACTTAATAGAGTCAGAAATGATAATAAAGTTAATGTTGGGAATGTATTTTATAGTGACTGTTAACTGCATAAAATAGAAAAGAAATTAATTTTCTCTGAATATTGAATGTGGTATATGTCATGTCAATATGAATGAAATCAATGAATGTGCATTAAATGACTTTGAGGATTGCTTCACCAAGGCATATCTTTTCCAAGAACCTTAGGGTTTCTCTACTTGTATACAAAGGGAATCTAAATCTGGAAAGATGTGATTGGGGAATTAGTTATTATATATTTACAGAAAGTAGCTTTGAATAAATGTCCAATGGTAAAAATAGAATTGTTTGATATACATGGTGTGTGCATGTTTTAAGGAACTCCAATCTCTGACAACAGAACAAATTTCCAGTTCTTCTACAGTTCTCTCAGTTCTCGCCTATTTGCTCAAGAAACTTTTTAAAAACTGCCTGCCATATGCCAAGCATTGTGCTAAGAAATGCAATTTTGAATGAATGTACTTGAAGTAAATAAATGTGCCAAAAATCGGTGCTGCATTTTTGAAACTGAAAAAAGCAATTATGCAAATTCAGTTTAAAATTTTTCCTCTGTTATAATTATCGCTTTGCATTTCAACACATTTAACAAACTTTGTTTCACCTGATTTCAAATATACTGTGCAACTTTCCTTACATCTTGTAAATGTGGGGAGAATATGAAAGAATTAAAGGAAAATAATTTCCTGTCTAGGTGATCCATGGGCTTCATAAAATATTAGCCACCCCACAGGGCCTGGAGGGATATGTATCTCAGTTGAAGGCGTTAGCATAGGATTTAAGAGATTCATCATATATCATTAAAATTTAGATCTATGTCAGGTACTACCATGACTTTTGAAATGCCATAGTACTGCCCAACTATAGATAAATAAGTCCTTAGTATATATTCCCTTTTCCCAAATACCAGTTTTTTGTTTGTTTTAATAACATTACTGACTTAGACAAATGAATACAATAACATGGATGTCAAACCTTAGGCGATTAGTAAAAAATGATTTTAAAAGTTCTTCCCTTACCCTCTCTCTCAGCCACTCCCCACCATTTTCCTGTTTAATAGTTTCTCGTAACAGACTTCAAGAGAAATCTTGGCTCTGTGCCATCTTAGTTCAGTAGTCACCATACCCATCCCTAACTCTTTTCTTTCATCTATATTTCTCTTTCCTTCCTTTCTGCCAACTCCTTTGCTTTGTGACTCTCTGCTCTCTCTAATCCACAGTTCATTCCTAACCACTTGCACATACCACTCCTAAAATGGAGATAGTGATGAGGCATGCAATACGGAAATCATAGCTATCTTTATTCTATACATGCTGCAGTATGTTTTCAGTGCATATAAGTCTCTTTGATTTTGAAAATTATTCCCTTGAACAAATACTATCACTAGAAGTCACATTTGTTTGAAATTTTCTTTAGGGCTTTTGGTTTTTTTTGGCTTTCCAAATTTCAAATTTTCAAAATGGCTATGTGGCTTCCTTTATTTTACAAATCTATGTAAGGAAAATAAAGGAGGGGAAAGAGGGAAGAAAAGAAGGTGAAATAGAGTTGGAGAAGGAAAACTTCTATTCTGCCTTCAAACTAGATGTCAAATCCATTAACACCATCTCACAGCCATCCCTCCCAGCAAGAGGTTGGCTGTCCTCCTAGCATGTCAATACTGGTTCCCCTGCTTCCCTGACCTTCTGCTCACCATTAAGAAATACTACCACCAACATTCCCAATTAAGACATGCCCTCTCCAAAATTCCCCTGGATCGCTTAAGCTCTATCCCTTTTTAAGTCATTTTTTTAATCAGAATTTACCTGTTCTTACCCTCATTCTCTTATTCCTGGTTCAATGGACCTTCAAAGATAACTGTCAAATGTGCGCCAGTGGGAGAATGCTGGAGTAATGATTTCCAAATGTGGGTTAATGTACTAGTGTCATCAGAATCACCTGAGAACCTTTTCAAAAATACATACTCCTAGATTTACCGTCTGAAGATTCTGACTTGGAAGGTCTGGGAAGAGTTCTGTATGTTTGGAATGAGACCAATGAATCTGGTCAACATGGTGGATTAAACACAGGCACTTATCTCTGCTCCTTCCCCAGACTCCTTGGCATAGCATAAACACAGATCCAGATCATCAGAAATCTAAGACCCAGGGATCTTTGAGGGCATAGGTGAGAAGAGAGGCTGAAAATAACAGACTTGGTTGCCAGTGCAGGGGATCAGAATTGGCCACCCCAAAATGTGTCTTTTTGGCTTGATTATTTTTAAGAACAAAAGACTGAAAGAAACTTTGACCTTCCCACTAACTGCCTAAAAGAATTTAAGATAGAAGGCCTGTCCCCAGGACAGGCCATCACCATAGATAACTCTGGGTATAATAGACTGGGAGAATCCTTGCTAAGCCCATTCTTATCAAAGTTCTCTCTCTCTCACTCTCTCTTTCTCTCTCTCTCCCTCTCTCTCTTTCTAAGTCCCAAACCACTACCCTCAACTTCCTCCTTTGTCTTTAGCTGAAGATGGTATTTAAGGTGGTAGCTTCAGCCATTTTGGTGAGTTACTCGGTTTTCCTGACTTTCTCCTATGTATACGTATTATTAAACTTTGTTTGATTTTCTCCTGTTATTGTGTCTCATGTCAATTTAATTCTTAGATCAACCAGAAGAACCTATAAGGGTAAAGGAATAGTTCTTCCTCCTTACACCAGTCTCTATCAGGAGTAGGTAAACCTTCAGATCACTTCCCAGCCAAGCAGCAGGTAACGCACTGCCCTAACCCAATCCAGAGACAATAAGATTTACTCCCTGATAAGGGTGAACTAGAGAAGCTCTGGTCTTGAAGACATCGAGATAGCTGAGTATAGAGGTGAGGTGTCTTCCT